GTCATCCCCTTCTCCTCCTGCCTTCAATCTTTCCCAGCATCAGAGTCTTTTCAAATGAGTCAGTTCTTCCCATCAGATGGCCAGAGTATTGGAGTTTCAGCTTCAGCATCAGTCATTCCAATGAATATTCAGGACTGATTTCCTTCATGATGGACTGGTTGGATCTCCTTGCTGTCCAAGGGACTCTCAAGAGTCTTCTCAAACACCAACTTGAAAATAGGGAAGAAGTAGTGCCTAGAACTGTATTCTTACTGCAAGATTCAGTCCTCTAGGTGTTTTCATTTAGGGAATGATGAATAACCCAAGTATCATAATAAGGACAGAGGAGTATGTTTACAGTCAAACAATTTAACCAAGCTTTTTTGATTTTTACTTTCAGGCTTTTGCTGCCTCCAATTATCCTGTTTTCCATGAATGGTTTTAGAGCTGAATATTTACAAATTGGAGCCTTTGCTGCTAAATATTAACAAACAGACTAGGTCTCCTACAAAGAGTGATACACAAACAAAACATAGATGCCTACTTAGTAAAAGTCTACATGATAGCCCCTTTTCTATCTGACCTCTGGATTTATGGTTGTTACAAAAAGCTTGGCTTCTTTGTACACTAGTGCCGAGTCAAATCCCGGAGGCAGAGTTTTGGGTGAAGTAGAAAAGAATATCTTTATTGCTTTGCCAGGCAATAAAGTTTTTTTTAATTACTTAATTAATTTGGGTGCATCTGGTCTTAGTTGTGACAGTCGGATCTGGTTCCCCTTCCAGGGTTGGAACTCCAGGCCCCTGTCCCCTGCACTGGGAGTTCAGAGTCTTTGCCACTGCACCACTGGGTAAGTCCCACATGAGCTCCATCTTGGATCTGTTGTGTTTGTGTTGCCCTTTGCATATCGTCACCTGACTGTCCACTGGGAAGGTGGGCAGTGGGTCAGAGGAAGAAAGAAAGTTTGACTGACTCTCCAGGCAGAGAGCCTTTCCCTCCTGTCTCTGCTCTGCTCCCTGCTCCCCTGTCCATTAATGCAAGTGCCTGATGAAGACTGTGTATGGGAGGTGGTGGACACTCAAAGTTATGTTTGGAATAGAAATCCATTTAAAAGAAGAATTGTCAAAAAAAAAGTTGTCAGAAGTTTCAGGACAAAGAGGAAGACTAGAGTGAGGGAAAAGAGGAAATGGTGGCTGACAGTGAGACGCCCCAAATTTGAGACACTGGTGACAGTCATTTCCCAGAGAGTAAGGACTTCAATGAAAGGACCTCTTGATAAAAGTGAAAGAGGAGAGTGAAAAACCTGGCTTAAAATTCAACATTAAAAAAACTAAGACTGAAAATAAATAAATAAATAAATAAATAAATAAAAATAAATAAATAAAAAAACTAAGACTGATGCATCTGCTCTCATCATTTCATGGCAAACAGATGGGGAAACAATGGAAACAGTAATATACTTTATTTTCTTGGGCTCCAAAATCACTGCAGTTGGTGACTGCAGCCTTGAAATTAAAAATGCTTGCTCCTTGGAAGAAAAGCTATGACCAGCCTAGACAGCATATTAAAAAACAGAGACATTGCCAAAGGTCCATCTAGTCAAAGCTATGGTTTTTCTAGTCATCATGTACAGATGTGAGAGTTGGACCATAAAGAAAGCTGAATGCTAAAGAATTGATGCTTTTGAACTATGGTGTTGAAGAAGACTCTTGAGAGCCCCTTGGACTGCAAGGAGATCCAACCAGTCCATCAGAAAGGAAATCAGTCCTGAATATTCATTGGAAGGACTGATGCTGAAGCTGAAACTCCAATACGTTGGCCACCTGATGCGAAGAACTGACTCATTTGAAAAGACCCTGATGCTGGGAAAGATTGAAGGCGGAAAGAGAAGCACAGAGGATGAGATGGTTGGGTGGCATCACCGACTCAATGGACATGAGTTTGAGCAAGCTTCGGGAGTTGGTGATGGACAGGGAAGCCTGGTGTGCTGCAGTCCATGGGGTCTCAAAGAGTTGGACATGACTTTGCGACTGAACTGAACTGAACTGAACCGAAGGACTTCAAGGCCTGGTGTGGGCTTCAAGTGGCAGAAACCTGGTCCAAGAAAGAATGCAGAGAGATTCTGGGGCTAAGGTACCAGATACGTGGATATTGAAATCACTAAGAATAATGGCAAAGCATACAATTGACTAAGTTAGATCTGGGCAAGAAGGGACCCTGCTCTGGATCCTGCCTTTTAGAGGTCCTGACTCTGGTTCTCTTCTGCCGCACTACTTCCCGTTGAAAGTCAGTGAGGCCAAGTGGTCATGCTGGTTGGAACCTGTGCCCCTCAACCCATCTCTGAATACCAGGGGCTGGTGCTTCTCTGTTTAAATGGCCAATCCTGCTTCCAGGATCTTCCTAGCCTTCTTTCCTGGGTCTGTTCTCCTGGGGGCATGTGATCCTGCAGCTTTGCACATTTAGGCCTGAGCAATGGCCAAGGGGCATCTCTTGAGGCAGGTAGGGAGAAGTGAATAAAGCTTTGTAGTTGAGTGGCAGAACTTGAACATTGTGAATAGGGCTATGTATACTTGTTCTCAAGGTCTGTTCCAGTCTTGGGTGGAGCCAGGACAGGAAAGAGAAGGGAAACAAAAAGTGGGTGAGGATCTGGCTACCATGCTTCTTTAAACAGCCACATTCTGAAGCTGAAGTCCAAAAAGACAGGAAATTTAAATTCAGACTTAGACTTCCAGGTTGTAATGGAAGCACATGTGTCAAAGTTTAGAATATATTTTAAGCTTGGAAGCTGAATTTTTAACTTAAAAATTTTAGACATGTGATATGTAGATTTCTGCTTGGGATCTTGTCCTTATGTATTAGGAATCAGCAGGTTATTAGGGTCTTCCTGCTTTGAGCCTTGACATCACACATTTGGGGGATAACTTTTTTTATTGTCTGTCTACTCTGATAGATCTGAAGTTATGTGAAGGCAGGATACCAGGCTGTCTTATTTACAAATATATCCCATTGTTAGTGCAATCACTGACACATGGTAAGTGCTCGCTAAATATGCCTAAAACTCTGAAATAATGACTTAAATGGTTGGTGATAGCAAGTACATTGAAGAGAAGAGGTAGAAATGGGTGAAGTAATTGGAAAAGAGAAGTTTTTGCTAAATTGTAATAGAGCTTGAACAACAGTGTGCAAGTTTCCCTTCAGTCAATCAAAGGAGTGGCAAACATGCAACATCTATTACCTTAAGAACTAGAGTTGAAGTAATCTATTTATTCATTCTAAGCTTTTGGTGTTTTTTTTTTTTCTCCCCATCAAATGTGTTTGGACCATTTGGCCCACAATGTGAGGGTCTGGAGTTTTTGAGTGACTTTTCCCTTAAAGTGCATTAAAAAACATGAATCAACATTTTAAAACGAAGAAAAAAGAACCCAGCTTTTTTGTTTCCCTTGAAAAATTGGATCTTTGGCAAGCCTGACCCACAGTCCAATATGGCAACAATGGTCTGAAACCTTTAAATAAGCCTGTGTTTATCAACAGGCCAATATCCACCGCTTACAAAAATGGCCCAGACATAGCCAGGCCAACAAAGGCCTCTGAATTTATGACCCCTGAATCTCAGGTTCTCTAAGTCTCCTTTATTTTGAAAGAGTATCTTCTTCAATCTTTGCATGGTTATATTTCTCCCAACCTTTGAATGACCTCAGTGTCAAGCGTCACTTGTATCTGCCAGAGATTCTGAAACTAAATTAGTTCACATACATCCAAAGCGAACCTGCTCCAGAAAGCAACAATTAGTGTTATGGATTCAAATTTCCCTTAATCAATTCCTACGATGACCCTAAAGGGAGATGCTAGACTACAGAGTCTGCGGAACAGGGCTTGGCTACTTCCCGAACGCTGATATTATGTATGGTGGTGAAACATAGATATTGGGGATACATAAATACAGGAACTGCCAGAGTGGAGGTTGCAGAAGGGGGCCTGGGACGATGGTGAAAAAACAGACGCTAGAGCGCTAATCAGTTCAAGTATTTACTGGTTATTCGTGATGTGCCAGGAACTGTATTAACACAAGGCTTCAGCAGTAGACCCACCACTGTCACTACTTTTATTGCGCTAATTCCGATGCGGCAAACCAGGTAACACACACACATAAACGCACATATCACATACATATATACGTGTAATGTGAAGATAAATGCTAATTATAAAACCAAAGCAGAGCAAGGAAACAGCAAGTGAGGGTGGGTCCTATCTTAGGTGACCCCGGCCAAACAAGCAAAGGAGCAAAGCATGAACCGTGGATTCGTTTCTAATTTTCTTAAGATGAGAGAGCGAGGTGAGCCTCCCTGGAAGCCCCGCCCCTTCCCTCCCAATAGGCGCAAAGAGCCGTCTCCCGGGGAAGCTCCTCCCACGCTCCCGCCCAGAGGCGGTCTTGGGGGCGGAGCCCCGCGCCCAGGCTCTCCGAGCGCCCAGCGCAGAAAGCCGCGCGCTTAGGGTTCCCGGCATTCTCTGGGTGCTTTGCAGGCCGAGAGAGTTACCCCCGCCGAAGAATGGCATGCTGGGAACTGTAGTTTCCGGCCGCAGCCCCGCGTCTAGACGGGCAGTAAAAAGCCGCCAAGTCTGGCTCCATTCCTGGCACAGGACTGGCAGCTTCGAAGGGTTGTAGGAAGGACTCTCTGGAGGGTGAGAGAGTAAGGAGGGGGGGGGGGGGTCACTCCGAGAACCGTCAGGCACGTCCAGCCGGTTGAGCATCCAGGCCGGAGGCCGTCACGTGACTCCAGCCCCCTCCGGCGCCCGCAGCTCCCTTCAGCGCTGTTCCTGCCTCGCCCCGCCCCTCGCGTCCGTCGGCCCGAGCTTCCCCCGGCGCTGCTGCCACCTCGCGCTCGGAGGCGTCACGGAACGTGCTCGCCTCTCCCCCTCCCCCGCCCTTCCCCTCTCCCGCCCTCCCCCACCTCCCCCTCCCTCGCCAAGACTCGCCGCCGCCGCCGCAGCCGCAGGAGTAGCCGCCGCCAGAGCCGCGCGCAGCCATGGCCGAGAACCCCGGCTTGGAGAACCACCGCATCAAGAGCTTCAAGAATAAGGGCCGAGATGTGGAGGTGAGTGTGCTTCCGCGGCCGGGGGGGCCCGCCCGGCTCGCCCGCCCGGTCGCGCCGGCCCTGAGGCGGCGGGGAGGGGCGGGGGGCCGGCGCGACCCGGCTGGTTCTCTCCGGCCCGCGGTGGGTCGGAGTTGGCCGCCGCCTCCCGTCCCCGCGGCCGGGGGGCCAGGCGGCGGTACGTGGTCCGGGCTGCAGCCGCCACTCGGCGGCTGCCCGGTGCGGAGACCGGGAAATGCCGGGGTTTTCGGCCCCGTCACGCGGGCGCGGCCTGCTGTCGGCGAGGAAGAGGTGTGGAGCTGAGGCGGGGTCCGCGGGCCGGGGCCTCGCGCGCCGGGGATGCTACGGCCGCGGTCTCTCGCGCTGAGGGGGCGGCGCGGCTCTCGCCCGGCTCGCGGTGCAGCCTCCCGCCCGGCACGGCCCCCTCAGCGCCTCCCGCGCTGCCGCACATGGAGCCTCGGCTCCGCCGGTCCCCGCGCCTACCTTCGGCGAGCCGGGCCCAGGCGGGCGGTGGCGGCCCGCAGAGGGGGGTGGGGACCAGCTGGGTAAGCGACTTGTTTGAGGGTGGCGGATGGGGGAGGGTAGGATGCGCCAGGACTATTTTCTTATAACCCGGTGCGGTTCCCCGGAGCAGTCATGCTGAGCTTCTCTCAGCTTGTACTGTCGTTAACCGCTGGCATTTGGAGCAAGCCGAAGGTGGACAATAGTTTCCCGTCTATTGTGTGGAGGGCTTTGGAAGAGACGTTGTTCCGACCTCCGCTCCCAGGACCTGTTTTCTTAGCCTTTTCTTGTAGCGGAGGGGGTGTGCACAGAAGGATCATTCCTTTGACACGTTGTACTGAAATAAATTGGATACATAGGCTCGGAGGGCCTCTTGCTCAAAGCTGGTAGAATGTCCAAGTGGTTGCAAAACTGTAAACATTCATCGCGGTCACTCAGTTCGTGCATGTTGCCATTGTCTCATTAAGGTGACATTAGCAGGTACTGTTTGCAAACTCAGCTTCTGCAGGCAGCGCTAGAGGTCTCTCTGCAGCTACTGAACGCTGTGTAGTGTGGTGCACAAACTTCACTGGGACTCTGACCTCTGGATTTGCTAGGGGGAAGGTGTTTCAGGTCCACAGCCTCCTTTTCTAATACCGGGTGACACAATTTGCAGTTTTGTCATTCTTGCTCACAGGCCAGTGTGACTTAAGACAGTGTGCATTTGAGAGAAGGTGGTGGGGAGGTGGGGAGGGATATGTCATTCAACGTTCTGTTTTGTAGAAAAACAGAAAACTCAGGCTGTTTTTCGGAGCTGCCAAATTAAATACTAATTAGGAAATACCGTAGAATTCCCATTTGACTGAGACGAATAAAGGTCATCTATGTCTGTCCTAGTCATGGTTAAGCTTCTTTTAGGGGAAATACTTTTAAGCAAAAGTGAAACTTAGGAATAGCAACAAGAAATTTGGGGACTGCCTCTGATTTTTGGTCCACTTGATGATGGGAGTTAATTTTGAACTTTTCCCATCAGTATTCTTGAAGCTTACGGCCAGTTATAAAGCAAAGCTTAATGTAGTTTGAAACATTCCGGTATTGTTTGGTATTGTTTGTATCGAAGTACTTAATAATCTTTCCGCTTTGGGGTGTTGGTACAGGCTTTTTTCTTTTTTTCTTTTTTTTTTGCCTCTGTTGTGTTCTGGGAACTGAGTGATAACCTAGAAAGGACTCCTGCACATAATAGGCACACGTAAATGCCTGCTGATGATCAGACTGTAACCAGTAACTTCTAGATACATGAAAAAGATGCCTGGTTGCTAACTAAGCCTTCCAGCCTGAAAGTATTGATCACAGCATTACGATTCCCAGGATACAGGAAGGAAGCTAAGGCATAAAAAGTAGCAGACATTGAAATGGTAGTTCCACGTGGCAGGCACTTTACTAAGAGCTTCATTGATAACCGCTTTTAGTTCTTAGGACAACTTTGTGAGCAAGGTGTAGCATTATCCCCACTTTACAGGAGGAAAGTACTTTAGATGACCAAGCTCCAGACTGCTTGTACAGGCTGCACAAGGTCATGGAGTGGGTATGAGCATTCATTCATTGTCTGTTGGGTATATAAGGTTGCTCAGTCTGTACATCGAGGTGTTTACTTTTACAGTTCAGTAGGATTGTAGGAAAGTAACTGATCACTACAGTGCAGTAGCATCAGTAAGTGTATGCTGAGAATGCATGAGGAGATCCTGACTTGGAGCTGAGCAGTCAAGGGAGATGTTCTGTTTGATTCCTAGTGGATGAATGGGAGTGAGTATCCTGAAGGATGAAAGAAAGTTAGCCTGGGAGAGGGAGGGGGCATGGAAGGGGCACTCCAGATGTGAGGGAGCAGTAACTGAAGAGTCCTGAGAATGTAGAGCTCTTCAATTACCACTGTAGTTGGGCTGCTAAGAGAGAGGGATGCTAGAAATGTGACTAAAGGGTGAACTGGGGTCAGATCTGCTCAAGTGCCTTTATTGTGGAATTTGGTATAACTGACACTAGACACCTTGTCTAGTTTAGTCTTATCCTTTTTAGAAACTATTACACTAGAAACTTAGGTTGCAACTTAGCTCTGTGACTAATAGTGATTATCAGTCTGTTTAAAAATCAGTGAAATATACTTTGATGAGCTATCAATCATTCCTACCTTTTCTCCTACAGAATAGATAAAAGATAAAACATTATAGATTATATAGCCAGCCAATACACAAGTTAAGATGCTAGGTGCAAGAATAAAACACATATTTTCTTAAAAAAAAAAAAAAAAGTGGAGTTATGCCAGGGAATTGTGACTAGGGAGAGGGTTGAAGAACGCAGTTTCATAGTTGGGAATGGCTTCATAGACAAAAGGTTGGTGAATTTTATAGAACAGATGTACTGAGCTTGCACCGGGCACACAAGAAATTAGTGAATAAAGATCTGGGTGATAAAGAAGAGAAGTTAGATGAAGGAGAGAAGAGATGGGACTTTAAGGTTGCCTATGGTGGTTTGAGAATATTTTTGTGGCAAAAGGTTGTTGATAAGAAACTTCTTGATAAGGAGATCTGAAGGAATTTATTTCAGAGTGAGGTTAGGTGTAACATGATAACAGCGATGGAAAAAGGTGACTGGGCAGAGATAACTAGAATAAATTTTGGAGGAAAGGTACTGTTACCCATATGTAAGGAGGAATTTGCCAAAAAATTAAGACTGGGGATGGTCCTAACATGGAATGAGGATTTGAACCTCCTCCCCTTCCTTTCTTTTCTTTGTAAAGCTCACTGGAGAGAAAGGAGATAAAGGTTATCCTGAGCTTTTTAGATGGAAGTAGGGGAGGGAATAATTATCATGGTCAGCAGTTTAAGGCATAGGTAGGGGGAATGGATTTTGTATCTAAAACTAGGAAATACATAATGAATTCCATTTAATGAATACTTATAAATCAGACTTGCAGGTAATTGCCACCTGGGTCAAATGTTCACTTCAAGGATGTGATATTTTAATCTGTGACAGAAACGAATGATTATTTAAAAATTCTTAACGTTTATTGAATGCTTACAGTGTACCTGTACCAAGTATCAATTCTTTATATGTGTTATTTAGTCTTATGAAGTATGTATGTATTATTATCCAAGGAAGCTTGAGGCTTAACAGTTCTTAAGTAGCTAGCCCCAAGGCTTCGGATGGTTTAAGTGACAGTGCGTGTGCAACTCTTTGTGACCCTATGGACTGTAGCCCACCAGGCTACTCTGTCCATGGGATTTTCCAGGCGAGAATACTGGAGTGGCTTGCCATTTTCTTCTCCAGGGGATCTTCCCCACCCAGGACCACTGTGCCACCTGGGAAGTCCCTTTAGGTGGCAGAACCTAAACTTAAAATGAAGCTGCCTGACACTAAAGCCAAAACTCTTGCTTACTGTGCCTTACTGTCTCTTCACTGAATAGAACCTAAGACTTGACTTGTATGATGCACATCTGAAGGTTAATAAATGGGGAAAATAATTAGGAAATCTGGACTATATCAGAGAAATCCCTATTCTTCCCAACCCAGGGATCAAACCCAGGGCTCCCACATTGCAAACGGAGTCTTTACCAGCGTCACCAGGGAAGCTCGGGAGTACTGGGGTGGGTGGCCTTTCCCTTCTCCAGGGGTTCTTCCTGACCTGGGGATCAAGCTGGGTTCTCCTGCATTGCAGGCGGATTCTTTACCAGCTGAGCTCTCTGGGAAGCCCTTTTCGTTATTTTAAAACCTTGCTAATAAATCTTTTTGACATTCAATTTATCATTTTGATTTATCTTTTATTTTTTTTTAACTCTTACAAAGTTTGCCTGTAGTAAGAAGCCAGTTTGTTGGTTTCACTGAAAAATAGTAACCCATATTCTTGGCCTTATCACTTAAACTTTAAGCTTCTGTTTCTTTTGTTTATTTATTTTAAAATTATTTTTTAATTGGAGGATAATCGCTCTAAAATGTTGTTTTGGTTTCTGCCATACATCACCACGGATCAGCCATAGGCATACATGTGTCCCTTCCCTCTTGAACCTCCCTCCCACCTCATCTCATCCTTCTAAGTTGTCACAGAGCACCAGGTTTGAGCTCCCTGCATCATACAGCACATTCCTACCTGCTATCTATTTTACCTATCGGGAGGAGCTAAGATGGCGGAGGACTAGGACGGGGAGACCACTTTCTCCCCTACAAATTCATTGAAAGAGCATTTGAACGCTGAGCAAACTCCGCAAAACAACTTCTGATCGCTAGCAGAGGACATCAGGCGCCCAGAAAAGCAGCCCATCGTCTTTGAAGGGAGGTAGGACAAAATATAAAAGATAAAAAGAGAGACAATAGAGCTAGGGACGGAGACCCATCCCGGGAAGGGAGTCCTAATAGAGGAAGTTTCCAAACACCAGGAAACCCTCTCACTGGCGGGTCTGTGGGAAGTTTTCGAATCTCGGAGGGCAACCTAACTGGGAGGAAAAATAAAGCCCACAGATTACATGCCTGAATCA